TTTAACCTCCAGCTGCGAATCTCTGGGGTTGGGAGGTTGGATGTTCGATTGATTGATCGATCGATCGAGATGGGGGGTATAAAACAGAAGAAGATGTTTATCTCAGGTTTAACTGCACAACTGTTCTCCGGCCTTGGTATGGGATGGATCAAGCATAAAAGTTTAGCTTTCTTATCACTGATGTATTTGAACCTGGTTCTAAAGAAATCATACCAAATATTGCCTGGAGCAGCCTGTCACTTTTTCTTAATGAATGGGGTTGGGTTGCAAAACTCTTCAAAGGGAGCTGTTAACGGGCAAAGAACTTCAAAAATAGGCATGAGCATACACAGAAATGATGGGGCCCTTTCAGATTAAAAGCAGATTAAAACCCTTTTCGTTCCTCTTTCAAACGGTTTCATACTGCTATCTTAGCCTACCTTATTTAGAAAGCAGCGAGGAATAAGACAAATATGAGCAATGGCATTTATTCTAGAAGGCGCAGCAGAATAGAAAGGCAAAGGGACCCAGCTTCTACTTCTCCACAAAAGACAAAGCAAATGTGTCCTTGATGGGTTGAGGCACCTTTTATTTGAGGCAGAGGCGCCACACAAAAAATATCGCCTACAATCCATTGCATTTCTGCCGATATAATTCTATGGTGTAGCCTGAATACTAAATCCATCCAAAGTGAGGCAGAATGGCAACAGGCATCAACCAAAGAGATGCATGCAGAGGCATCAAGGTCCCATTTTCAAAGAAAATGAGAAACTGGAAAGATTAGCAGAGCTGGTCTCAAGTTACCAACATGTCAGGTCACTGACATTTATGGTTTCTATATCAGTAAATTATCCTTTCTTCTTCCCTTTTGCTCTTTTAGAGACATTCCAACAGTACAGGGGTAACAGAGCAATCTACTGCTACTTAAATTACCCTTCTCAACTGGACATGAAACCCACATTATCTAGATCACCAGAAGGGTTCTCAAGGGCCCATCTGTCCAACTTTACCAGCAATGTCAAGTCTGAAACTCTGCCTCTCTCTGGCAGTTCTAGCACAAAATCTCAGCTTCATTTACTTCCATCTTCTTGCCTGATGAACAGGAGCCAGCCAGGTTTAGAGCCCTCTCTTGTTTCCTCTCAACAGACCCACAGACCATGCTCAATGCTTGATGACAGGGCCCAGAAATGGTGTTATTTTGGGGATCAAGCTGGGCCAACAGTGGGGAATGGGATGAGGAGGTTATGATGAGAATGAAAGTCCCTCTCTTCTGGACAGAGCTCCCAAGACATCATCATACTGCACTGGGACTAAACTCTGTTCCATACTCGGTCCTAAGGACTAACAGAAGAGGATCAGCAGGTGGCTGCTATAGGAATCTGAGTCCTGTAAGTGGCTTTTTGGACTTGTCATTTATGGGGTGGTATGGTTTGGGTCTACAATGGTGCTTCCATCTGATCCCTTTATCCACCAAACCAATTCATTTCCCTTAGCTTGCAAGAGAATTACTGACAATACATCTTCAATCCCATATACACTTACATGACAGAAAGCCCTTCTAAAGGCGAGAACTGCCTTACTTTTGAGGAGACACATTCAGGATCGCAGTGCCAGAAACACTGCTGGAAGCTACACAAACATGTGAGCCACAGCAGACTTCAAACAAACAAATGTATTAAATAAAGCATGCTCGCCTGTCAGCCAGCTTCTCACAAACCTCCTTTGGGTTTCATTCTTTTGATTAAAAGTAGACTAATGAAGCAAGGCTTCCCATCACAAGTTGATATTTTCTCTACATCATGAGCAGCCTTTCTAAATGGAAAGATAATTATTCTTTTGCACCCTCATTTTCAATCTGCATCCTGTTCAATCTGTTCTTTCAGTTATATCTGTTTTGCCTGAGACACCAGCTGTACAGATGAATCTAACACAGTCATTCTATCAGCCTGCTTTGCCATTTCCCTACACTCACTGTGGACAAAGACACATTCGTGCCTGTCACACTCTGTAGTTCTCTCCTGAAGGCTCACTGGGCTACATCGTATGACAGAGAAACTACAGGCCCAAGAGGAAGATGTCTTTTACAAAGCATACTACCCTCCAGTTGGGGTATCCAACAACAGAATATGCCTTCTAGATAGGGTGAAAGTGACGGCATATCCTTCCTAGGACAGAAATGTCCTCCATGTCCTATCTCATTCTTTTTTTTTTTATTTGAAATGGGAAGAAAAATGTTTATATCAGCTAAAGATCTAGTTTAAATCAACCCTACTAGGTTGGAGGCGCTGAGTGAGGGGGACTCTGGATCCACTGAATTCTCCTCCTGAATTTGGGGGCTTTCACAAGCTGGAAGGAGGAGGAAGGTTTTAGGACCTGATATTGGATTCAATATTTCAAGGACAGAGCTCAGTCTCCAACTTTGGTGAAGAGGGGAATCAGGCAAATACTATAGATTGAATCCTTGGATTCTTTTTCTCTTTGGTTTCCCAACAGAAGTTTGAGGACATAATAAAATGTCATAAAACATGCCATAAATGGAAAGGCAGATACAGTAGTACCCGTTTTTCCTCAGGAGGGAGTTTGCTCCATTCGTTGCCCAACATTCTGGTGATTTCTGGAAATGGAACTTCAGGTCTCTTGGCTCGAAGCTGCTCCCGCCGCTCATTCATAAATCTCACATACCCCGTGAGGGGAGATTTGGGAGCATTGCTGTCCCTTAAAGGTTTCTTCCTCTTCCGCCCTTTAGACCAGCCTCCTCTCTTGACTCTTTGCTGTAAGAGAACAGAAAATTCAAAACAAATCATTTGTTTTAAAAGGACATTATCATCTCCCATGTTCTCATAAACTACATAAGGCTTTAATTAAGCTATTTCAAAGGACAACTTCTGTTTCAGTCCAATAATCAGAATCTGCTAGGAAGTTATTTGTAGATGACATCCCTTTACTGAGCTCCTGCAAGAGGAGGATTGCTAATTAAAATATAAATAATCAATTCTCCATTTAAAAGAAAAGATGAATGGATAGAATATTCAGGTGGAGGAGGAAATCTTAGACTTGTTCCAGTAATTTCCACTCACCTCCTCCTCAGGCCTCATTTCACTATTTTCAGCTTTATTAAATGACTCATTTCGTAACAGTTGATTTTGCAAGACATCTTCTGCAAAATCTGGATTGTTGGCAGCCTGGGAGGCACTGCCACAGCACGATCCTTCTGAATGATTTACCCTGAAAAAAAGTCAGATAATCATACAAGATACTCCCACTCTTATTGTCACAAAATGTAAGTACTCATGCACAAACTTATTCTATCCACTAGGCCTCCAAATGTCATAACTGAGAAATGTTCAGAGATGGCATTGCAAAGAGTAGTTGATAAGGACCTGTTAATTGTAAAAGTTAGATACAAATATGCCCTTGCTCATTACAGTTGATAAGAATGATTTATGACCTCAACAGGGCGCATTTCAAGGAAAACAATTTTGTCTGTAATAAGAACAGAAGCTCAGCTTCTTCTCCATGTACAAAGGGCTGAATCTTCACAGGAGGACCAAAGGCAAAAACAATGTTTTATTATTCTGTATGTTTCAGGCAACATTTCTAACTATGCTTATGATGCTAACTTTGCTCTCATTTATTTTCACACAATTGCTTGCTGTTACACTAAACAAGAATAACAGATTTTCTTTTTTTTTTTTAAAAAAAGCCTTGGAGTGATATGAAACACAACAGCATGTTTCACAGTGTTCTGAGCCCATCTTAATAAGTTGCTGGGCACAGCATATTTATCCATCTGAAAACAGCTCACAGATAAAAGTACCCATTTCAGCTGCAATCGCTTGCAGCTTGGGTATTCTCTCCCCTCTTCCCCATCAGGCCAGAGCTAGAGAAAGGTAGGGGACAAATTCATCAGACAAATCCTTTTTTTTTTTATTCCTTCCCTACGAATCCAGCAGAGATCTTAGGCCTATGCTAAGATGAGCCATTCAAAGTGAGAGTAGCCAAACTTGATTAATGCCACTGTGATTCAAATCTCACTAGGCTTTAAGTGCTCATTTTATTGCACTGTATGTAGATGGAGGAATGTAATGGCAGTGAGAACTGGAAGACAATCCTTGTTTCCTGTTATGTGCAAATCAAGTTGGGAAAAGAGACGAGGGACAGAAAGAAAATGGTTTATTACATAAACCAGGATAAGAGATTACAGATTAAGAGATACAAGATTTCACTTATAAACTCAGCTTATAAACTCACAGAAGATCGTGACCTAACAGAAGTACTCATCTTACATTCTCAGCACGTGATATGTTCCAGAGAGTGATGCCTAGAATATTAGCAGCCATTGCCACAGGTCCCTGAGGTGGCAACCCAGGTGTTACATTTTCAGGGCTGTATCCAGAAGATATCCATTAGGAGATATTGAACTGGCAGGCCTGATTGCCCAGAGACTTATGAACACAGAATACAGAAGAATGAATGAATGAATGAATCATATTGAATGAATGAGTACAGAATGTTCCATATTTAGTCTGAGGGATGCTTAAATGAAGCAGGTTTACTGATTTATAAAAGTCCTAAGGAGTAAAACAGGTGATGGGAAAAGCTCTTCTCTTGATGGTGAGAGGTCATTCTGTGGCTGAGTTTGGGGACAATAAAAAAAGAAAATTCAACCCCAGAATGATTTCTCACCTGGGTCAATGAAACCAGTGAGATATTCTGTTTTATCATCCAGAGAGGAGCTTTTGGCATTACCTGTCTTATTCCCCAGAATCTTTACAAATTAGTTGCTGCCTCAAGTAGCTGCCAATGTGAAAGTGTCCCTTGGGTGGGGGAGGGGGGGGGAGAAAGGAGTCTTTTTATGTAAGTGGCCCTCACTTTGCCTCTTACAGATACTAGTCTGAACTTCCGTGGCAGCCATCATCTGTCCATATTATTACAACTTCTATTATTATCCAGCAGAAGCTGTTCCTTGGACTGTTGATTGCTGTTTCTCTACTTTGTCTTATTTTCAACCCACATTGATCATTTAAGGATTAGCACCTGATAGGAATGTCTTGGTTTCAATATGCCAAGGGAAATTCAAAGGATTTGTTTCACTGTGAAGAAAAAGGATAAGTTTTAGCAAGACAGAGAGAGCTGTAGAAACTGGAGCTTTGAAACCAGGACAAAAACTAATTAGCATTGAAGACTCTGAAGTGGATGAAATATGCATAAGCCTAAAGCTAGAGAAACAGTTGCTTACCCAGCTGGAACATCAGTATTCTCTTTTGAGCCATCGTCTTCTTGAAAACGTGAAGGAGGAGATGAGCTGCCCATCACGTTCTCCATTACTGTTACAAAAGAAACTGGAGATGCAATTTTCATATTAGTATTAGTATTTCTGCATACAGTATTTGTTTGTAGAGTTACAGACAGACTTATATCCTGGTCTTAACTATTCTCTCCTAAATAATGCACACTAATTTCAATACCATTTACTTTTGAGAATATAAGTTTAGGGTTACAGTCATAAGATCTAACCTTTAGGCTGCAGAACTCTACCTCATGTCAATTAGACTTAAGTAAAATTTCTAAACAGGCTCTACTGAAATGACCACAAATAGTGATTAGTATATCACAGTATTAAGAGCCAAGCAACAAGCAACTGTTAACTTTGAACTGCAGTTACACTATGGCTACTTTATTTAAACATGCATAAAAACACAAACCTACTAACTCTAAAAGATGGAAACACACATTTTATAGGAGCACCATTTGTGAGTAAATGTTCCACAATAAGCACAGAGCACCAAATGCAAGAGTTTGCATTCATACATTCATAAATACATTCATTTGTATTCCAGTCATCAGCTGGCAACTTTCAGGAATGAGTTCGAGTTTGTGATGGCAGCCATGAAGTACTTTCCATTTTTACATGTACTGTGGGTACCAAAAATGTGAGCTATAAACATATCTGAACACCCACGAGACACCAATCCACATCATTTAAGATAGAAGGAAAATGGAAGTGACAGCCACCACCACCACAGAATATTGCTTGGCTGAACACTTATTCTCTGCTCCACAGAGCCATAACTGTTCTACTGGAAGAATCCTAGAAGTTTTTGTTTGCTTTAAATAATATTTATGATTGTTTCAGAAATATTGCTATCCTGACCTGCAACATACATGATTATAATAAATAAGCAAATATTTATGCATATTCTTTCACTCTTATCCTCATCTCCTTCTATTGCCTCCCTAGGTTGAATTTTACATTGCAAATTCCATAGCTGAGGGGCTTGTTATCTCATCTTTACGCCCACTGATGCTGCTATATGAATAATAAATATAAAAAAGGCCTGAGCTTTTTATAGAGAACAATTAAATTCTATTTTCTAGCAGTCAACAAAGAACAGGAAAAAAGAGATAGGAGAAGGCTGTCAATGTGATACTATTCTAATTCAGAATAAATTTCCAATTTATAAGTGATTTATTTTTGCCCCAGCAATCATCAGTGTAATTCTGCAAAGAAGTCACTCTATGAATACAATATTTTTCTGCCCAAGACCCCTCCATAGTCCTATATTTTATAGAGTCAGAAAAGCACTTTTGTGCCCAAAGATGGAGTGGTCTGGGCGCCTGTATAGATGGGAAGTGGCTGCCATTTATAAAGGCTTCTAAACTACAGGTAGTCCCCAGGTTGAGAATGCCCGGTTTACTGATGACCCATAGTTAAGAATGGAATCTATTGTAGCAAAATTCAAGTTAAATACACAATAATTCGAGTTAAGTACACAATGGTTCAAGTAAATTACACCACACTACTTAAACACTATTATACAATAATACTGTTTCGGCTTACATACAAATTCAACTTAAGGACAAACCTTGGGATCGGAACTCATTCTTAAATTGGGGACTACCTGTACCCTCAAATTTAAATCCTCTGGGCATTATGAAACATGTTAAAGGTACAGAAGGGTTAACAAAAAATGGAAAAGAAAAAGGAATAATTGTGTAATGGGCCGCAATTGATAGCAAAAATAAAAACTAGCAATTACATCTGTGAAAAAGGAGCAGATGGAATTTATCAGACCTTTGTTTTACAGATTCCTATTTCTGCTCTGTTCATTTTAGGTGCCATCTACTGAAAATGACCTCTCCACAAGCCTGAATGAAAAAGGGGGCAGGGGCTGCTTTCAAGCACATTCTGATGCATATGGCCTTCAGGTGGGCTGCTAGAAAATGCTTTTAACCTGTTCAAATCCAGTAAATGGTGAGAGGAGGCATAGGCTTTAGTGGGTGATAACTGTATCATTTTAGGTGCACAATCAAGATATCCTTTTAAGTAAGCATTTATGTAATGTCCAGGCTGGTAGGTCAACAAAGGGTTAATCCATCAATCCTGCAGCTTCCAGGGGAAAATGCCATACTAGCCAATCTTCTATTTATTCCAATACAAGAGAATATCTGTAGCTTGGGGTTGAACTGCGGAGTTCTTGGTGCTCTCTGAGCTTGGTTGCTTGCTTGCAGTCATTTCATTACCCGACTAGGTAACATCATCAGTGCACCAAGGACTCCACACCTCTATTTACTTTCTGAAGAAGGGAGTTGTTGAGGTGTCACGCTAACTAACCAACATCATTATCCACCTAGGATGCAAGGAAGCAGTTTGTTCCTCCATCCCCCCAAATAATCAATATAAATGCTTATAAGCTAGTTTTAGGCTTGATTTAGTTTCTGAGAGTCAGAAAGATGAAAAAGCATAGCACGGTCCATATGGTTTTACTGTTTTTTGTTTGTTGGCTTGTTCTGTTTTCTGATTTTATGAATGCGGCTTTGAAAGAAATTTGGCAAAGGTTGTTTTTCCTTCTGTGAATACAATGCTATGTTGCTAATGAGCATGAGAGCAGAGTTTATTGCTAGTTCAGTTGTCAAATATATAAAAACTTAACTTTTAAGTTCAAACCTTCTAGTTTACACTATCTATTTCCTGGCTGATTATACCTCAGGCTGTTTTCTTCAACTCAAATTTATCAATCTTTAGAGAAAACAAAATCATAGTCTTCAGGAGCCATTCTGCTCAATTATCACAAGCATGCTTTACAGATTTTGGAGCAAAAAAGGTGGTCTAAGAGACATTCTCCTTGCAGAGCATATGAAATATCTCAGGGCATATTTAGACATTCTAACCTCAATAGAAAGACATTTATCTCTCACACAGAATCCATACAGCCTTAACAGCTAATGGGCATATTACCTCTTCTATTCTACACATTATATTTCACAAGACATTTCAGGCTGGTCTTCTTTTCCCCCATTGGCATCTAGACTTGATAAGCAACAATTAATGCTTCAACCTTGCTTTTAATTCGGCATGGGAAGCAGCTGGAAACCAGCATTAACACCGGGCAAAACAGACCATATAAACACAGGAAGCTAGAAGAATGCAAACTACTTTCTTGCTTTAAAGGTTTGTTTTATTCAATCCATATGCCTGGACACTCAAAATCAACTCCCAAAGAAGAGGTCAAATATTTGTGAATGTGGAGAAGTTATTAAACTATTCCAACAGGCAGGATAAGGGAGGGGAGGCAAGGAGAGACCTAGTTCCCACTGGAACAAACTGGAAAAGGATAAAAAAATGTGCATAGGATGTGCAAGGTCAGAGGTTGCTCTGCTGGCTTCAAAACTTCCAAAATCATTCCTGCCATGATTGGCCTTGCAGCTGTGCTCCCAAACCACTGCCAGGTAGTTTTAAGAATGTCAAAGGCTCTAAAGCAATTCACAGAAACTCAAAAGATGTTTATTACTGCATAATCTCATTAGCTCAGTCCGGGTGCCTGACCACAGAGTTGACAAGCTTCCCTCTTAAATTCTGGATCCTCTGGGGTCAGATGAACAAGTTGATGGGCTAGTTTTAGCCAGCTCTTTCCTTCCTGTATCCTTTGTCAGGATGAAAACAATCCTGGTCAGGATGACAAAAGGAAATAGTACCTTTGCCCCTCCGCACTCTGTGTACATTAGGAAACTGCAGGTGTAAAGAAGTTCAAAATTACAGAAAGGGTCAAGTCAGCAAAAAGTTGATGGTTCTCCCTCAAATTCACAGTATATTGTAATCCATTTATTCTACAGTTATGATCAGCATTAACTAAACAACTGTAAGTTTCACTCCCAGAACATAGATGCTATAAAGGCTTCTTCATTTCTCAGGGTTCTACATATCACCTAACATTAAACAATAAGGAGATTATTATACATTCTCTGCACTTCTCATTTTAGAGAGTGAATTGCCCTGCAATTGCATGTAAGCATAGTTAGAACTAACCTCATTTTCCATTTTAGTTAGGATAAAAACCCTTGGTGTGAATTCATTTGTGATCCAGTTTAAATCCTGGGTTAGTGCCAACTGCAGTTAATGCTGCTATAAGCATTAATTTGACAAAATATGAGAGATGAAATTCATGTTCCAGAAGGAAAAGTATGTGATCCAAAATCTCACACATTTTTAAATCATGGTTAAGGGAATTATCATTATTATCTACCTATATTAGTCCTAACCAACATGTCAAAGTAATTGTAATCCATCAGCACTGAAAACAAACTGACCTATAGTTTTGTGTTGTAGACAAAGAATTCAGTCATGTTTCCTTAACTTCTTGATTCAGGTGCAGAACCAACTGCTAAATATGTAATATTATAACTTTTAAATTATTTTATATACTGCCCTTCAACCAACAAATTCTCACAGTAGTTCACAATAAAACAGTAAGAATTCCAACAGTATAAAACAGAATATCAAGTAAAGACTTTGAAATAAGGTCACAAGATTATTTCTAAAAAGGATCGGGGGGAAAAGCTTCAATCAATGCTGGCAAAATAGTAAAGTGGGAACAGGCATTCATTCCTTCAGGTACCCAAACTCCAGCTATGAAGGTCTTTGAAAGTCAATACTTAAACTGAAATTATGCTTGGAAGTGCCTCTTAATGTGAATACAATCTCCCACATTCTACTACTTCACACAGCACTTCACAAGTGGTTTCTCGCCTGCTCCTAAAAATTTCAATAACCTTTCATACCTGGGTTCTGATCCTTTTAGTAGAATGAAGGCAGCAGCCATTTCTATCCTTAGGTTTCTGTTCAAGACCTGATAGAGCTCAAAATCTACGTGGGGCTGGAGAAAAAAAATTATAGAAGCTAAGACTGAATGGAGATAAGTAGAGCTATATATTAGGATGATGGCAGGAAACGAGAAATGTAAGAAGTTAACAGAAATGCTATAAAATGATAAACATTATAATTTGTAAAGAGGTAATAGCCTGAGATTGCATGTCTTAAATTGTAACTTACATAGACTATAAC